TACCTCGATAATGTCTGGTCCGACATAGATGAAGGTCTTGTGAGAGTTTTTGTCATCAAATATATTAGCTCTGTCAGATCTTGGTAGTTGATGCGTCCGTTAAGGAGAAAAACTACCGGTGCGACGATTTCGACATCTTCTTCCGTGTTGTTCTACGACATGGTTCCGTTTCTCCAACTCGGATTGGTGATAATAGCCAGACTTTCGTACTGGTGGATCTTGCAGAGTAAAAATAGTTGTACAAGTAAATGCATCGTAGCTTCACAATGCAGGTCATGAGCGCGTTGTAATTCAGCTGTATTGTGGGTTACTGGGTTATGTAATTAACACGAAGTGTTTTGATGTGTGTTGAAGGAAAAGTCTTCGTGCTTCGCAGCTTCTGTTTTTCTCTGTTGAAAAATCGTTCGCAAATCTGTGATGAAGATACATGTTGCGGAGATTGTGAGTCTGGCTCAAGAATGAACATGGTATTAACGTGTGTCCAATTAATCCATTATACTGTAGCAGATTAAAGAAAAAGGTCAAGAGTAGTGTATCAACAATGTTTATTTCTGCTGGTCTAAATATATATAATGGTGCATAATTGTCAGATAAGCATTAGTACTCTTACAAGTGTATAAGGAAGTGCAAATGGATTCTCACATATAAAGTAGTACAGATGCATAGCAAATACAGCTGTTTTTGTGACGAAATTACCCCATCCCTTCCGTTTCAGTGCTCTTGGCATCTGCAAGCTGAAGTTTTACTGAACCAAACCAAAATAAGTGCATACAGAATGCCGTATAATCAAAAAGTAGCACATGCCGCTTATCTTTATCTATATATTCCCTCCGTACCGAATACTTGTGAAATACTTGTAGTTGAGGGAAACTAGTACCAAAATACTTTAGTTGGGGGAACTAGCAGTACAAGTTCCCCCAATTACAAATATTTCGGTACAGAGGTAGTACCAAATTGGCAAAGAAGCAGAATGTGGGAGTATTTGAAATGGAACCACAAAATCAAAATAAAAACTACACCCGCAGCTGGTGCCCAGGTGATACAGTATCTAGCGCTTATTAAGCTACCAAGGAAATTCAGAATACAACACAGCTTCACTTCAAAAAGGAAGGGGATTTAAAAAAAGCACAACGCTGAAACATTACTCTGGCCTCTTATTTGTCAGGGGACCCTGTTCCATACCTCGAGCAGTTTTCATCCTTCAAATAGTTCTCCTAACATCTCCTTCAAAACTTCTGGACTGCTCCTTTGGCGGCCAACATGTTTCTCTAGCTCCGGATGGTCCTCTAGGTAGTCACGGTAACCTGAAATGACTCTTTTGGTGATAGTTTTCCGCAGCACACCTCTGAGCGCCGTGGGTCCGGAACCTTCCAGAACTTCCGAGCCTGGTATATTTTGTGAAATGTTGACTCGAATTTGGCCAGTGAAGAGGTGTTGATCCAACAACGGATCGGTCGAGGAAATCTCGATTTTGGTATGCATGAGAGCACATGTCCCCAAGAAACATTGAGATAACTATCCATGTACTTCTTACATTCAGGCGGAAGTGTGAGGTGCCACCGATCAGGAACGAAAGGTCCTGATAACTCAGACACCACATGACTCCGATTTTGTGAAGAGCAGACCCTTGAGATAAGCGATTGTGCCATCGATCAGGCCACCGAGGTTTTCAGAGATGTGGCTCGGTGCAGAGATTCGCGTTGAAGTCTGCGCATTCATTATGGATACTATGCAATCCGCGATGAAGCGAGTGTTGTTGTGAACCTCGGCACCTCCTCGCGGGATCTGGATAGCCCACGAGTCATCTTCCTCAATGAGTGCCCTCACCTCCTCCACCGTGTTTGATATGATCTCAATCAGCCTGTTTCTTTCTCTCTCCAACAGGCCGCCTGTCTCATTGAAAATGCTTTGGGCGCCCGGAGAGATGTTGACCGGCGGAAGCATGCCCGACACACGACAGACAACGGTAAACATGTCAAGCATGACCTCTAGCTTCTCCGCTTCGAGAAGAGTGATGATAACATCCACGACATCAAGCAACCCGGTTATGCTCGCTTTGCCAAACAGTGCGCCCGCCGGCGTCTGGATGTTGAAGTGCAACTCAGTGATACTAGTGACAATTACAGTAAGAGCCCGGATCCACTTGTCGACCAAGTCTCGCGTCGTCGCCGGCTTGTCTTGGAGCAGCCGCCGTAAGCCATGCTTGTCGTGGATTTGTAGAACCCAGTCGACGTCGAGCACCGAGAACCAATTGGCGAGCAGTGCGGGTGCAGGAGATGTGCCGTCGAATGCTTGGACCATCCGCTGGGTGTACCCGTCGCTGATCATTTGGCGAGCGATCCTCCAGAGCTCTTGGTTGCCCAAGCGCTCCAGCGCAACGGCGGACGCTGAACCGGAGGAGTGGCCGGAGTTGTTGGATGGGCAGGAATTGGAAGCACTGGTGGACAAGCTGGATCCGCTATGACCCAAGATGGTTGGTCTCATGGTCGATCTCCTCTGCGCTCCGGACACGGGGACCGTCCGAATCCAGTCGCGGTAGAGGCTGCGCGGCGGCGGGGCGGAGCTCCCCTCCGGCACGGCAGCAAGCCGCCCCGGCTCCGCCATGCTACTACTCCCTCCGTTCCTAAATATTTGTCTTTCTAGAGATTTCAACAAGTGACTACATACGGAGCAAAATGAGTGAATCTACACTTTAAAATATGTCTATATACGTCCGTATGTGGTAGTCCATTTGAAATCTCTAAAAAGACAAATATTTAATAACGGAGGGAGTGCTTTGTAGATGGATGGACGCCATTGGCTTGGTTGGATGAGATTGGCAGGGGGAGAGAGAAAAGCACCGTGTCCGTGTGAAGTGCAGTACTGGGATTGTGGGAGCCGGGGCGACGAGAATCAGCACTGGTCAGTAAACCGGCCCCGTGACGACGACGACCGACGGATGCAAGTCCCGGGTCAAGTCAAGACCCCGGGCCGCGTCACGAGAGGCACCAAAGCACCCACATGCCGTTGTCGGACAACAACGAACGAAAATGCTACACTGTTGCTTCTTTTTGTTTCAAAAAAAAAAAGAGAGGTTGAAACCGTGTGAAGCGCAGGCCCGGGACACTGATTGCAGGACACGGGCCAACAGCGAACAGCAGGCACTGTAATGGAGCAGCGTCCGTAACGACAAGTCTTCGGCGGCGCGCGATGCAGCGAGCGAGCGAAGCAACGGCTCCGGTCGGTGGAGGGGGCCACGTCCCACCCGGTGCATCTCCTTCAGCCCAACCACCGCGTGAAACAAGATCGACTCGGCAAAGCTCAAGAGAGAGAACAAGAATGGCCGCGCCGCGTGGATGTCGCTATTCTCAGCTCGAGCTCATATGCTTTCCAATGAGCAGTAAAATCGAAAAAATAGTTTAAAAAATCTAAAAAAAAGTATGTGCATACTTTGACAAATTTTCTCAGTTCTCGCACATTTTCATGCCGAAATAATATTCGTGCAAGTCGTGGTAAAATAAACAAAACCGACACTCCAAAAATGCTATTTTCAAAAGCATTTTGGAGTCCTTTTTTTTTTCATGACTTGCACGAATGTTATTTTGGCCTCGAGCTCCTCGAAGAGCCAGACATGGTGCTCTCTAGTCTCCTTCCTCCCCCTCCCTCTCTGCGCCCATCGCCTCAATCCAGTCGTCCTCAAAGTTATACTCAAAGTACAGTTATGATTCATTTCAGCAGATTGTTACCTGAGCTACTGTCTCCTGCTTCGGCTATTCGGATTTGAACTGTCTGTACTGATAATATAGCTCTATAAACAAAGTTGAACTATTCTCTTTAATGTGTTCTCTATAAAGATTAACAATACTATGAACTGCTCACTCGTTCGGTCGTTCCCTTATCCCATTGCAGATAACGTATTAGTACGATGCATTCATCAATGTACGATACGATGAGGCAGAGCATTGCAAGATAATGAATGCCTGTCGAACGCATGAAATTCTCCGTTCTCCTCACTCTGTGCAGAGTTCCACAAGATAATGATCGTGTCAAGAAGTCGCTTGCAAATGAAGATTGACCGGTTGTACGTACCTCTGTGCTAGAGCATCATAGAATAGCATACTAAATTATGGTGATATATGGTTCTTCGCTTCATTTCTTCTCCTCTTTATATGTAGACATTAGCTAGACTTTCATACAGGTGGATCTTGTTCTTGCATAGTAGAAATAGTTATATAAATGCATCACAGATTCACAATGCGGGCCATGAACGTTGTAATTCAGCTGTCTTGTGGTTTTGATGCTTGTTAAGGGATAAGTCTCAAATCAACGGTGAGATTTTGTGGTACTGCCGCCTCTATGTTTGCTGATTCATCTTTGGCTGTTGAAAAGGCGTTGGCTGCTCTGTGATGAGGATGCATGTTGCCGAGATTGTCAGTTTAGCTAAAGAGTGAGAATGAAATTAGCATCTATCCAACTAACCCGTTATATTAATATATTCAGAGTTAAGCCTACTATCTTACACAAAAAAATCTACAGGTGTATTAATAATCTAACAAGTTCATAAGAAATGAGAGTTCATTTTCACATATGAACAGTACAGTTATTACATAGAAAAGACTATCTTCTGTGTTGAAGTTTTACCATTTTGTTGTTCAGTACAACGCTACCTGTTGTCCTGTACGTTTGAGTGACCCTGTCAAGCAAGCTGAAGTTTTGCTGAACAAGATGAAAGTAAGTGTGCATAGTATAATGTTGTGCGAACTCAAAAGAATGGCAATTATCTATGATTGCGTATTTTAGGAAATATATGAATGAAATTGACGCGAAACTATTGGCATACACTCAAGAAATCAAACAAAATCACACACAGAGAATGTGACCAGATGATGTAGTACCCGACGCTCAAGTCACCAATGAAATTCAGAATACAACTTCACTTCAAAACGGAAGAAATAATTATAAATACAACAAGTCCAGTCTCTTATTTGTCGGTTGACTATGCCCGATGCCTCAAGCAGTTTTCATCCTTCGAATATATGTCCCAACATAAACGCTAAAACCTCGGGACTGCTGCTTCTTCCGCGGGTAACGTGTTGCTCTATCACCGGATGGTCCCTCAGGTAGGCCCGGTAACCTGACATGACTTTCATGGCGATAGCTCTGCGCAGCGCATCTCTGAGCTGAGGATCCGGGACCTTCCACAACTTCTGAGCCTCGTAAGTTTGATGAAATGCTGACTCGAATTTAACCAGCCAAGAGTCGTCAATCCAATAACACCAAAAACAGAGCAGCTCGGAAAATTTTGATTTCTGTGGGCATGGCAGCACATGCCCCCAAGAAGCATCAAGATAACTATCCATGTACTTCTCACATTCAGGTGTAAGTTTAAGTCCATAATTGTCTCCTGATGGCTCAGACACCTGCGCTATGAAATAGTAATTGTTGAGCAGGAACAGGTACCTCAGGCTTAGATCCGAGCATAGCTCCGATTTTCGAAGGAGCACATCCTTCAGATAATCAACGGAGTTTTCTACCATGCCACGAAGGTTTTCAGTGTCGTGTCTGTGCACGGAGGTGCGTGTCATCTTCATGGACATGATGCAATCCACCATCAACCGAGTGTTCCTGTGAACCTCGCCTCTTCCTCGCAGAATCTCGACAGCCCACGAGTCATCGTTTTCGATGAGTGTCCTGACCTCCTCCATCATGCTGCATATGGCCTCAAGCAACATGTTTCCTTCCCTCTCCAACAAGCCGCCTATTTCGCCGAAAATGCTTTTGGCTTCGGGAGAGATCACGAGTGTGGTAAACATGTAGTATGATACACTTGAGACACACACGAACATGTCTACCACGGCCCGAAACGTCTCTGCTCTAGGAGCAGCGAGGATGGCGTTGACGAAGACGAGCATCGCGGAGACACTTGCTTTGCCAAACCGTGCCACCATGACCGGCGGCTCCTTGTGAACGGCGACCATCAGATTTCTGATATTGAAGACTATCACGGTGAGAGCTCGAATCCATCTCCCGGCCAAGTCTTGGAGCGACGACGCCGGCATGTCCTGGAGGTGCGTTTGGGCAAGCCAGTCCACGTCCAGCTCGAAGAACCAAGCCCCCAGCACGCGGTCCGGGTCGCCACCGTACTCGAATGCTTGGACCATGCGCTGGGTGTAGCCGTCGCCGACCATACGGTTAGAGATCAACGCGAGCAGCTGGGTGGGGGCGGATCCCCATCCAGGGCCCGTGGAGCAGCCGGAGTCGCTGGACGGGTAATAACTCGAAGCGCCGGAAAAGCTGGATCCGCTTTGACCGGAGTGGGCGAACAGAGTCGATCTGATGTACTGCCCTCGGGGAAGGGCGACGCTCCGGATCGAGTCGCGGTAGAGGTTGGTCGGCGGGCACTGGCAGGCAGCCGGGGAGCCGTCGGTGGCCTCCTCCGGCACGGCAGCAAGCCGGCCCGCCATGCTTCTGCTTGGTGGATGGACGCCCTTGGTCGGCGAGCTCGATGAGAGGCTGAAATCAACAGCCATTTCCTTGGACAGGAACAGCCATTTCCTCGATCCCGGGAGACCGCCACACCGGGATCAAGACTTGTATGCCGGACAGCCGGAGGCTGGAGCCGCGTGTAGACGAGAGTGCAGGGCCCAGGTCACCGGTTGCCGTGTCGAGACCAGCTGCCGGACCGCGAGATGGACGACGGCCACACGAGCAGCTGTCAGACGCGTCGACGCAGTAGTTTCCAGGAGCCAACCGGATCCATAAATCGTTGTAATCGGACCACTGCTCTTGGTCTTGACTGCTTCGCTCTCACTGGCGAGCTAGCGACGGCTCGGCACGAGGAGCGTCCTCCACCACACCACGTTCTACCATTTTTGGTCGTCACGTCTTAGCGGAGACTAAGCTAGGAACGAGTATTTAACCAAAAACTACCATAATTCACGAAACCGTGACGAAAAAGTATCACCTTACGATTTTGTGCGAAAAACTACCGCCTTTTTCCTAAACCGTGGCAAAAAACTACCAAGTCTAAAAAGAGCCCGATTTGGCTCTTTTAAGCACGTTTCTGACAGAGTTGGCCCACACATAAGCATGCTAAAAAAGTAATCGGCTCCCTAGGTTTTTTTTAAAAAAGCAATCCAGTCCTCCAGCGACTGGAGGGGGTGGGCGGCTGCGTGCACGTGTGCGAGGAGGCACTGGGATGCGCGACGGCGGCGGCGTGGCGGCCCTGCGAGCTGCGCGTGCCATGGGGCCCGGCTGCGTCAGGCAAGGGGAGGATCCTGCACGCGCTGCTGCGGCGAGCCGGCGGGGCGGCTGCTCGAGCGGCTGCGCAAGGGCTGTGCGCACGGCTGCGTGTGCGCGTGTGGCAGTGGGGCTGCGACGAGGTGCGGCTGTGCAGTGCGGCGGGGCTGCGCGAGAGGAGGAGCTCGTGCCCGTGCTGCTGCTGCAAGAGAAGGAGAGGAGGCAGAGGAGAAGGAGACGGAGAGGAGACAGTGGAGAAGGAGAAGAGGGGCTGGGCTGCTGCTGCAGCGAGGTGAAGTAGAGGAGCACGAGCACCGCCGCCACGACGCTCGCCGCTTGCTGGCCGGCTGGCTTGCGTGCGTGCGCAGCCGCCGCCGCCGCGGTCGCCGCGAGCGTGCTGGGCCTCGCCAAGGACTAGATTGCTTTTTTGAAAAAAAAACTAGGGACCCGATTGCTTTTTTAGCCTGCTTATGTGTGGGCCAACTCTGTCAGAAACGTGCTTAAAAGAGCCAAATCGGGCTCTTTTCAGACTTGGTAGTTTTTAGTCAAGGATTAGTGAGAAATGGTAATTTTTGACACAAATTTGTAAAGTGATAGTTTGTAGGCACGGTTCCACGAATTGTGGTAGTTTTTTTTTTCTAAATACTCGCTAGGAACACTGCCGAGACAGAAAGGGACGGAGTTGGAGGTGAGGAATATTTCAATGCAACTACTGCCGAGATAGAAAGCTGTCCGTCGTGTTTGCTTTTTCAGTTTGCGCAACATGCTGTACTGTTTCTGTTTAAATAATCAGCAACGATAGCATCAGTTCATTGCTAAAGGAAAATACTGTTACTCTACTCACACTGTTCAGAATTCTAAGGTGATCAGTTGTGTTATGAAGAAGTAGAATTCACAACCGCACAAGACGAGTATTTAACGAAAAACTACCGCAATTCGTCAAACCGTGCCCACAAACTACCACTTTACAAATTTGTGGCGAAAACTACCACAATTTTAAGGTGATCAGTCATGTTTTGTTTCATACGTCAAACGCATGAAACCCTCCCTTCTCCCGACTCCGTGCAGAGCTCCACAGAAGCTGATAAAGAATGATCGTGTCAAGAAGTCGCTTGCAAATGATGATTAATTGACCGGTTGTATATACCTCCGTGCTAGAGCATCGTAGAGCATCATACTAAATTTCAGTGATATACATTAGCTCTACGAAATTCCAGGAGCAGAATGTGGAAGGATCTGATACGGAATCACAATAAAAAACACACCCGCAGCTGGTGTACAGTTGATATAGTATCTGGCGCTTATTAAGCTACCACCAAAATTCAGAGTACAACTTCACTTCAAATGAAAATGAAAAAAAATTCCAACTATAATGATGAAACATTACTCTGGCCTTGTCTGCCGGGTGAGCCTGTTCCATAACTCAAGCAGTTTTCACCCTTCAAATAGCTCTTCCAACATCTCCTTCAAAACATTAGGACTACTGCTTTCGCGGCCAACGTGTTTCTCTAGCTCCGGATGCTCCTCCAGGTAGTTGCGGTAACCTGTAATGACTCTCTCAATGATAGCTCTCCGCAGCGCATCTCTGAGCCGAGGGTCCGGAACCTTCCACAACTCCTGAGTCTGGTACGTCTTGTGAAATGCCAACTCAAATTTCACCAATGAAGACGTGTTTATCCAACAATGGATCGGTCCAGGAAATCTCGATTTTGGTATGCAGGAGAGTACATGCCTCCAAGAAACATCAAGATAACTATCCATGTACTTCTCACAATAATGCAATTGATTTAGGTATGCAGGAGATGCTGATGACTCAGAGACCACACGAGCTACGAAATAAAAATTGTTGAGCAGGAACAGATACCGGAGGCCTTGATCCGAGCATGACTCTGATTTTGTGAAGAGCAGATCCTTCATAGAATCGATTGTGCCATCAATCACGCCACGAAGGTTTCAGTACTTTGTCTTGGTGCAGAGTTTTGCATTGAAGTCCGTGCATTCTTCATGGATACGACGCAATCCATGATGAGCCGAGTGTTCTTGTGAACCTCGCCTCCTCCTCGCGAGATCTCGATAGCCCATGAGTCATCTTCCTCCACGAGTGTCCTCACCTCCTCCATCGTGCTTACTGTGATCTCACTTAGCCTCTTTGCTTGTCTCTCGAACATGCCGCCTATCTCGTTGAAAATGCTTAACATCTGCGACGCACCACAGACACATGTAAACATGTCAAGCACGACCTGTAGCTTCTCCACTTCGACAACGGTGATGATGACATCCACGACATCGAGCATTTTGGTGATGCTCGCTTTGCCAAACACTGTGACCGCCGGCGTCCTGTAGAAGGCGCATACCAACTCAGTGATACTGGCGGCAATTACCGTAAGAGCCCGGATCCACTTGTCGACCAAGTCTTGCGTCGTTGCCGGCTTGTCTCGGAGCAGACGCCGTAAGCCATGCTCATCTTGGATTTGGAGAACCCAGTCGACGTCGAGCTCGAAGAACCAATTTGTGAGAGCATGGTCCGGGATACCAACGAATTGGAATTCTGGCGCAGGAGATGCGCGGACGAATGCTTCAACCATGCGCTGGGCGTACCCGTCACTGACCATTCGGTGAGCAATCCCCCTGAGCTCATGGTTGCCCAAGCGCTCCAGCGCAACGGCGGACGCTGAACCGGAGGAGTGGCCGGAGTTGTTGGACGGGCAGGAACTCGAAGCAGTGGAGTAGCTGGATCCGCTATGACCCAAGATGGTTGATTTCCTCTGCGCTCCGGACACGGCGACCGTCCGAATCTAGTCGCGGTAGAGGCCATCACGCGGCGGGGAGGCGGCCGCGGAGCTCAACTCCAGCACGGCAGCAAGCTGCCGCGGCCCCGCCATGCTGCTACTTTGTGGATGGATGGACGCCATTGGTTTGGTTCGATGAGATTGGCAGGAGAGAGAGAAAAGCACCGCGTGAAGTGCACTACTGGGAGTGGGAGCCCGCGCGAGAAGAATACTGATATACCGGTGCCCCGTGACGACGACCAACGGATGCAAGACGTGGATCAAGTCAACACCAAGTACCGCGTACCGGAGCCGCGGTTGGCGGCTACACCAACAGCTTCTAGGAAGGCGCCCGCACGTGCCTTCAGGGCAATCCCAACGCACGATCCAAAATGGTACAGCCGCATCCGTTCTAGGTAAATGAACAAAATAGACCGCCAAATGACCGAAAGCAAACGGACCAATGTCCTTTTTTGACCCATTCTCGACCCAGTTTTGGGCCGAGTTTACAGACGAACGGACATGCGTGGACCACACGTGGCGCCTGTCCATGTCCTCCTCTGACCCGCCCGTCCGGGATACAGACGCCGCCCCTCCTTTTTCTATTTCCCCCTCCAGCCGCACCCTTTCCCCTCTCGTCCCTAGCCGTCGTCGCCATTTTTCTCAGACGTATCGCTATGCAGCACGGCCACGCGCTCGCCCCTACCCTTGTCTTAGCCCCCATTCGCCGCTGTGCAGCCCCCGTTCCCTCGACGCCCCGATCAGCCCAACCCCGACCACCTGATTTTAGCGGAACCGACGGTCGGATTTGGAGCGGATGCGGCCGAAGTTGAGCTCACCCGGCTGCGGGAGGCTGCGTTGTGCCATGGACTGGCCGGGCACCGGCCGAAAAGCCCCGGCAAAGCCGCCAGGCCGCATGCAGGTATTGACTCCACCTCTAGCCGCTCGGATCTACCCCGTTGGCGGTTCGCCGGCAAAAACACGAACGACCGTCGTCCGGGCTCGGTGCTGGCCCAAAGACTCGTCGGCGCACCGTTGCCACTTATAAAGTGCGACGACTACCCACGGAAGGTCTTGCGCCGCGTGTCTACAACGCCGGAACATCCCGGAGTGTTCACCAAGTGCTCAAATGATGGGGTATGTGCTACTTTAGCTTTGGTTGTGCTCTCGGATTCGGCTAGTTTTACTTACACTCAAATATTTATTGTGTAGGATGGATGCAACTTTTGATATTGGAAAGAAGAATGCATCGATCTATTGATAGAGCGCAATTTAATAGATGTTCGTGCACTTGTTGCTAGAATAGAGGCTAGAGATGAGACTAGATGTGAAGAAGCAATGTCTACTTCTTTAGACTCGAAGAAGAAAGAAGCACGCGAGATCGAGCCTCCGCAGATCAACAATGAATGTATTGAGAAGGCACTAATTCAACATACGGGAGCAGTTATGGAAGTTGG